CTCTGCCCCTGCACGATCCAGAAAGCCCCAGTCCTGTCTCTCTTCCTCTCCAAACCCTGCCTGCTCAGAGTCTCCAACAAAGGATAGGCACCAAAAATCTCTGTTCCACATTCTTGGTGGCTACTGAACCTTCTGCCCCTGGGACTTACCAGCCATCCAAGTCCTAGCCTAAGTGGTCAGCTTTTGAACCATACTTGGGCACAAACCCAGCTTGTGGTTGACATGTCATCACCCTTTGCCTACAACCTATAACATCTTCCTAATTTTGTTAGGGGGCAAGACTCCACTGGCCCCAGTCTCTGGGACCCAAGGACCCACCCAGGAGTTGCATTGTTTAAATGAACCTGTTGTTATACTTTTTCAATTCAGCTTGATCTGGCTTACTACATTGGTGGAGAAATCTATTATAGGGGTGAGGCAGAAAACTATTACCAAGACTTTGCTAGGCAAGTATTCTACCATTGAGCTGCCCCTGCCCCCATAATTTCCACTTTGAAAAGTCAGTCTGTGACACACATAAGTTGACTGAACAAATTCTCACATTATGAAAATAATTATGATAACTACTTGCCTCTAGAAGCATGATGTCTGGCAAACACAGAAATCCAATCCAGGCTACTCTTCCTTCCAGTGCTACAGCCCCTGAGGCTTTTTATTTTGCAGTTAATAAGAAGGAAAAAAGACTGTCAGACATCTGTGCTGGAGCAAAGGGAATGTGACTCTATTTCCCTTGTGTATCTTCTTCTATGACCTCTTGCCAAACAGAAAAGGCCAGACTCCTTTTATAGGAGGCAGATTTTTCTGGTCTCTTCTGCAGCTCAACACAAAAACAGGATCAATATTTGCCAGGTTCATCAGACATTGCAAAGGAAAAACAAACAAACAAACAAACAAACAAACAAAAAACAACTTAGGGGCCAGGGTGTAACTTAGAGGTGGAACACTCCCTAGCATAGGCAAAGCTTGGGTTTGACTTTTAATACATGGGGTGAGAGCCTCCAGTCACCGAGAGGCTGAGGCAGGGAGATGGGGAGTTTTAATAGTGAGGCCCTATTAAAACAACCAAAACCCCTCAGCTGTGTCTAGGGGAGGTGGTGGGAGCTAGAGTAGACACCTTACAGTTACAGTATAACCTGTGTGTCACTGTCTCTCCAGAACTTCTTGACCTTAGCCCTAGAAGAGAGTAGTTGGAAGAGAGATTTAAAATTCCCACAAACCAGTTTTCTAATACCACTTTTTGTTTTCCCACAGTGACCCAGAAAAGGAACCATCCAGCCATCCTGGGATACCTGCCCTGACAGTCACATTGACCATAGTAGCAGCCCCTTCCCAGGATCAACTGGTCTCACTGAAACTTGTGCTTGTCCAGTGTTCTCAGCCTTCCTAAAACTGCAACAGCGTACCCAGCTTTTCCATGGAACTTCAGTCATACGCCCCCCCTCCCCCAGCCACAGCCATTTTACCCACAGCCATTTCCTCAGTGCCTCTTGGGATCATCTTAGTTAGAGCTGGCAGCCTTCTCATTGGGTCTGCCAGAGATTCCAGAGATAGTGTTTGGTTATAACATCCAGCTTGATCCTGCATGATCTGGAAAGCCTTCCCCCCCTCCAAACCCTGCACCCCACTCAGAGATTCTCCAAAAATGAAAAGGCACCAAAAATCCCAGTTCTACATTCTTGCAACTATTGTAACTTCCTTCCCTGTTGCCACCAGGAGTTGAAGTCCCTGCCTAAGCAGCCTGCTTTTGACCATACTTGGGTACAAGCCCAGCTTGGGGCAGACACATCATCACCCCTTACCTACAATCTAGAAAGTCTCCCTGCTTTAATGTGGGAGTGTAACTTCTCTGGCCTCAATCTCTGGGACCAGAGAATTCACCTGGGAGTTACTTTGCTCAAATATACCTGTTGCTATACTTTTTCAATTCAGCTTGATCTGGCCTACTGTGTCAGCAGAGAAACTTATTCTCAGGAGGCAGAATACTAACTAGATAGGAATGCAAATTCTCTGCTTCTTCTGGCCCATGTATACAGAAACAAATGTGATTGTGACTGCTGCTGTCCTCACCGTGTCCTGGTTGAGTTTTTGTTGTTGTGTTGATGTCCACTTGATGAAAACTAGAGCTCTATGTGAAGAAGAACCGCAATTAAGAAAACGCCTCCATCATTAAACTGGCCTAAAGGCACATCTATAGTTTATTTTTCTTGATTATGATTGATGTGCCAGGGCCCAGCTCACTGCAAGCAAGTGCCACTGCTGGGCAGGTGGTCATGGGTTGCATAAAAAAATCCAGCTGAGCAAGTCATAGAGAGCAATTCAGTATGATAGTAAGTCCTTGTTTGTCCATGGTCTCCCTGAGTTCCTTTTATGGTGGACTGTAAGCTGTAAGGTAAAATAAGCCCTTTCCTCCCCAGGTTTCTTTTGGCTGTGGTGTTCATCACAGCAACACAAAACAGACTGATCTACAACATTGCCCTGCTCCCTACTTTTGAGATAGATAGGAAAGATGTTCATAACTCACTTACATCACCTCTGCTGTTTTCTGTCCTGTTTGTCTCCAGGGAGACAAGAAGCCCAATTCCCTTAATGCCATATGATCTCCTACACTCATGCTACATTTGCCATCTTATAGATATTGTGACATGGCTCTGTTTTCCTGAGCTGGTCCTCTCTTACATTCATTATCTGGCAATTAACTCTAATTCATAACGACTGGAACTTTTCACTTATTTTTTTCTACAAATTGATAATGTTTAGACATGGAGTGTGAACAAAAAAAACCATTAAGAGTGGCTTTTTTAGCTTTGTTTTTACAGGGGGTTGGTTTCGTTTTGTTTCGTTGATGCTGGTTGGTTTGGGTTTTGTTTTTTTTGTTTGTTTGTTTTTCATCTTGAGGACAATTAGAATTAAAAGAAAAGCACTAGGCAAGCAAGCTATAAATCCCAGCAGCTGTGGGGAGGAGGGAAAGGGGGAGAGAGAGAGAGATAGAGACAGAGAAAGAGAGAGGGTCATGCTGTGTGCAGATGGCCACATAGCAGAAAGTGAAAAGAGAATAAGATTGGGTTTAAGTTTCAGAGGAAGAGTGTAAACGCCCAAACTACCAGAGAAACATACATAGCCCGTAGAAAGAGACAGGGGAAAAGGGGGTGGGGGGCAGTTATAGGCATGATCACAGATACACATAAAGCAGATTAAAGAAAGATTGTCTATGTACAATAGAGGAGACCCCACAAGGGCTTAGAAATGAGGAGTTCCACGGAACATCCAGGACACTGAGTCTACACTCCTAAGGAAATGGAAATGGTGATTTCCAGCAAGAGGTTTCCCTGAGGTACAGAGAGCACCAAGTCCTCCTATAAAGCACTAGAGAAGGCAGAGATGTTAAACACACAGTTTTTCTCTTCTACAGAGGGATTTCACCTGTTTTCCACCCAGAAGGCTGGTGTGGATGCTGTTTATAGCCTGGTGATCATTTGCTACCTATAGAGCCAGGCCTCTCCCTAGTCCCCAGACTCCAGAGCATTGTTCCCCAGTCAACAGAAAACATTCCTATGAAAGACGTCCCAGCCCCTCCCAATTCTGACAAATGCCCCAAAATGATGTGACAGACTTTGATGATCCCCACTCCCTGGGGAGTGGATGGGGGTGCTGATGGGGGGGCATGGGAGGATGGGAGGGTGGGAGGGAGAGGGAACTGGGATTGATATATAAAATAAGATTGCTTCTAAATTAAGTAAACAAATTTAAAAAGAAAGAGGTGCCAGTACTTTGCAAAAGAGTCTACTATTATGCTCATTCCAGACCCTTCCTCCTTGACCCTTATCCTGAGCATTGTCAGTCAATAGATATAATTTACTTATTTATGTTTTTATGTTCATTGGTGTTTTGCCTACATGTATGTCTGTGTGAGGGTATCAGATCCCTGGGACAGGAATTAAAGACAGTTGTGAGCTGTCATGTGGATGCTGGGACTCGAACCCGGGTCCTCTGGAAGAGCAGCCAGTGCTCTTAACTTAACCTCTGAGCCATCTCTCCAGCCCCGGAGCCCATTCTTGTGGAAGAGGTCACAAGTACTTTGCAAAAGACATGCACTATGCAAAGGAGTTTTGATGTGGCCATGCCTTGAGCTTTTTGTGATAATTTTGTGTCACAAGGAAACTTTTTCCAAAGTTGTACTATGCCTAAATATATCAAAAGTAAGCTGCTGGAGGTCAGACTGGAAGTCTGAACCAGCCTAGGCAACTGCACCTTGCTGACCTGTATTCCCTAATTGACAATCTTGGGTCATTCCACAGCTGGTCATGACATTTGCAGGGATCCCTACACTAAGAAACTTAGGTAGGCAGACTCCGGATGCCCTGAAGATTATCTCCACTCACAACAGAAAAGACTGGTTCCCAGTCTTTTTTCTGTCCATCACTAAGATCTGCCTAGGAACTTGCTTGGTTCACAGCCTCGAAGGACAGCAGATCATTCCAACAATGTTTCTACACTACTCCAGTGAGTGACCCTGAAGCATCATTTTCTAAGCATCATTTTTAATGGAAGCCACTGTCTGTTTCCTCTTTACTGGGCCTGAGTTTGAATGAACATACACAGCTCTCTTGATTTTATTTTTGTTTTGTTTTTAACCTACTTTCCTATAGCAATGTTAGTATAATCTTTCTTGTTATTTTTGATCATATTCTTTTAGTTGAAAGTGCCAGAAACATAAACAAATTTCAACCATTTAATGGCATTCTCATCAAAATTCCAATGCCATCCTTATAAAAAATAGGAAAAAAAATCCTAAAATGTACATGGAGGCACCAAAGACCATAAACAGATAAAGAAATACCAAATGAAAGGACCAACACTGTATAAGTATGGTCACATCTTGCTTCAAGTTCTACTGCAAAGCCAAAGGAACAGAAACAGTGTGACACTGGCACAGAAACAGACTGGCACTCAGTGGAAGAGGACAGAGTGCCAAGGGGTAAAATGCTACTGTAGAACTTTATTTTGTCGCCACTGCGGCAATCCGGGCGGCGCCTGCGCAAAGGGCTGAGCGCGGAGGGGCTGCCAGACTGCCCAAAGCCGCAGGGAAGATGGTGGAAAACTCACCTTTGCCATTGCCAGAAAGAGCGATTTATGGCTTTGCTCTTTTCTTAAGCTCTCAGTTCGGCTTCATACTTTATCTTGTATGGGCTTTCATTCCTGAATCCTGGCTAAACTCCTTAGGCTTAACTTATTGGCCTCAAAAATACTGGGCGGTTGCATTGCCTGACCACCTCCTTATTGCTGTTGTAATTGGCTATGTCCTCTTATTTGGAATTAATATGATGAGTACCTCTCCACTCAACTCCATTCATACGATCACAGATAACTATGCTAAAAACCAACAGTGGAAGAACTACCAGGAAGACGCCATCCCAGCGTTGAGAGACGTTCCCATTAGTGAAGTAAACAAAATGTTCTTCCTTGAAGCTCCAGAGCTTAACACCCAAAACTGAGCTGTATGTAAAAGTCCTAACAACAAACAGTTACAAGATTGGGGTGAATAATTTTGAGCATAATTATACTGATCGTCCTTTTAATACTCAGTATTGACATGTAAAAGCATGGAAGTTGATTTCTTAAATTGAGTTCAATTAATATTGTAAATATTTTCAATTTGTGTTTTTAATTGACAGAATAAATAAAATACCACATTATACTGTAAAAAAAAATGCTACTGTAGCCCCCCCAATTCTGACAAAGATACCAAAAAGCACACTTGGAAAAACGTCAACTTCAAAACAAATGGTGCTGGAAAAACTGGATATCCACATAAAGCAAACTGAAAGCAGAGTTCTCTCACCATGTGCAGAAACAGCCCAAATGGATCAAAGACCTCAGGATGAGAGAGAAAGAGAGAGAGAGAGAGAAGCACAAGCAGGGACTGAGAGGGACTAATGGGAAGGGGTAGTCAGACCCCGAACAGCCTCTTGCAGTGTTAGCAGACAAGCTGGAGATATCTCTGTTTGTATGTGTTTGCCTTGCAAAGATAGGTATGGCAGCTTCTTTTATTGTTTTATTGATAAATAAAGCTCAGGAGTCAGATATTAGGGTATAAACCTGATGGATCCTCAGAGCAATAGAGAAAAAGTTCAGCTGACCCTCCTTGCCACCTTCCCAAATGGAAAAGGCCCATGAATCTTTCCCAACCCCTCCATATTCCTCTTTGTGTCTCTCTATCTTCCTCTGGGTCCACCAGAAAACTCTTTGGCTTATTTCAGCCAGCTGAATGCGAATTCTGCCCTCTAAATCAAGGTTTAACTCCATTGGCGGTCTCAGAGTGACAATAAAAACAAATCTCCTGCAACATTTCCCCCTTTTGTCTAAATAAAAAGGAAAGGTTTTAACTGTAACATAGTAAAACTATATACAACAAGAACAATTTTCAGGTAAGAATTAAATTCACAATGTCCAGACCATTTGTATTTGGCAAAGTCAGAGAAAATATTCCATTATCTATCCTCTCTTGATGAATCTAAAGTTTTATACCTAACCTACTTTCTATCATAACTAAGGAAAACTGTAACCATAACTATTTGGCCTTCAACCCCTTCAGAGACCCAAGAAGGATATAATATTATGAGTAAACAGAAATGCAGAGCAAATAAATTCCAAAACTAAGAAATGACAGAAACATCTGGCTGCCTGAATAGTCACCCAAGGTTCCTCTGTAATGTTGGGGCATCTATTTTCAGCTTGCAGGCCTAGAATATCTGACAGACTTTTCTGTGAAGCAGGAAAATTTGAAGGACTGTCCTACCTTGTCTTGGCAAAGTTTGACAGTTGCCTTTCTTTGTGTCCTGCTTGTCTAGTTTGGACAGCATACTGTCAGCAGTCGAGGCGAGGGCAGGTTTTTGCCCAGTGACTAACTTTACCACAATGAAAGCAATTTCCATATGGAATTTCTTTGATTTCTATCATCCTTTTTTGAAGTAAATTGGTGCTTCCAGGAGCAGGCATGTCTCATTGTCATGAAAGCCTTATGTTATTAAAACATTTTAAATGCCATAGTCTATAGGTCTCTGAGGTGTTTGAAGACCATCTATCTATTTAAAATATATCTCTGTTTGACCTTGAAAACACACCTAAGTTTGATTGCTATAGATGATTAACTACTAACCTATCTTTCCTTATTATCCTAAGTAACTATCAAGGACTAGAACTTTATATTACATTTTAAAATGAGTTACATAGGTACAGTACCTAAACAAGAGTAGAAACATATATACAGTACAACAAAAAATAACATATAAATGTATATGTATGTGTATATATATATGTGTGTATGTATACACATACACACATACAGTATAACAAAAATAAGAATACACACCTTTAATCCCAGCACTTGGCAGGCAGAGTCAGGCAGATCTCTGTAAGTTTGAGGTCAGCATGGTCTATAGAGCAAGTTCCAGGACAGGCTCCAAAGCTGTACAGAGAAACCCTGTCTTGAAAAAAAATGGACTTCAGGTACAGTAGGATCCAGGTGTGGTGAAATTTTGCTTGTACAAATAAAGCCTGTTTGAAGGTCAGAGAATGGAGCTTGCCACTAGCTAACCATAGAGGCCCAGCATATCCGACAGACATTTCTGTTAAGCAGGATATTTTGAAGGACTGGACCTCCTTGTCTTGCAAGGTTTGCAGTCACTCTTATTAGTGTCCTGTTTATCCAATGCTCAGCTATCTCAGTCAGTAGAGCATGAGACTCTTAATCTCAGGGTTGTGGGTTCCTGCCTCACATTGGACGCCATTTGTAGATGGCCCTTCAGTCCCAAATAAACACACAGAGGCTTATATTAATTACAAACTGTTTGGTTGATGGCTCAGGCTTCTTATTAGTTACCTCCCTCTTAATTATTAGCCCATTTCTAATAAACAATGTATTTCCACGAGGCTGTGGCTTACCCATAATGCTCGGGCATCTTATTCCTTCAGTGGCTACATGGCATCTCTCTGGCAGCTACTCCCTGCCTTTCCTCTTCCCAGAATTCTCCTAGTCTTGTAGTCCCCTTCTGCCTGGCTACTGGCCAGTCAGCATTTATTTATCAACCAATAAAAGAAACATACATTCACAGCATACAGAAGGACATCCCCATCATCTAGGAGGCCAAAAGATGTCATTGGGTCCTCCCACCCTTCACTGTCTTGCTTTCTCGCTTGGAGCTACATTCAGGTTGCCTATCCTTCCTCATGTTACTGTAGAGAAGACCACTCTGAACTTTCCACCTCCAGACTCCCAGCTAGTTATTCCACCAGCGGTGATGGGAGGAGAAGGAGAAGTGCAAGTTTCTTTCTTCTCGTCTCAGAACATATCCCAAGGAAGGCCGAGTGACCTCACTCCGCAATATGCAAACCCAAAGCCCGTTGCCATGACCAAAAGATCATAGATCCATCGCTGCCAATCTGAGCTTCACATGAACTAAGAAGCAAAGGCAGTTGAAGAAAAAAGCAAGCTCTTTTGACCAGGCTGGCCCTGTTCTCACGTAGCCAAGCTCCACAGACTCTTAGTCAGCAGTTAATGTCCACAGACAAGCAATTCTTTGTCCAGCAGGCAGCCCCAAGGCCCATCCATCCCTTTTGTATAGCTCCTCATATATTTGTGTCTCCCAGTTACAAAAAGCTGAAGCCATTACTAACCAGTAAGGGCATATAATCTAACTCCATTCCCCCTGAGCCCATGTCTTTCGCCTCCCCTCATGCAGAGATCACTGCAGGCCCCCAGAAATGAGAACCCTCCAGCTAAGACTGTCACAGGTTGTATGGATTGCCCTTGCACAAGCTTAGCTCGTACCAGCTGCCCCTATTACAGGTCTGCATCTGCCGGAGGAAGTGGTGCTGTTCAGTCTGCACCGGAAGACTCTGTTGGCTAACAAGGGCCAGGCCTGGACTTTAGACCTGGAGGCAAAGCCAGAGTAATGAGGAACTCTATTGCTATGAGGTGTGGCCCAGATGGGACACAAAACCAAGGGACATCCTGGTAGACACCTTGCCATCACCCCTACTGATGGCCACCTTCACCAACCAACAAACAAAACCAAACCAAAAAACAAGTTAATTAATTAATTAAATAAAAATAATAAAATCTAAAATGTTTGTACTAGTTCTGTTTTGCTTTGTTTTGGTTTGTTTTTTTCAAGATAGGGTTTCTCTGCGTAGCCTGGCTGTCCTGGAACTCACTCTGTAGACCAGGCTATCCCAGAACCAAAGAGATCCACTTGCCTCTGCCTCCTGACTGCTGAGATTAAAGGCTTGGGCCATCACTTCCCAGCTTTTTGCATTAATCTTGATGGGTCAGTTTGTTTGTTTTGAGACAGGGTCTCAGTATGTAGTCCTGACTGGTCTGGAATTGGTAGAGATACACCTGCCTTGGCCTCTAGTGCTTGGATTTAAATTGTGCAGCACCAAGCTCAGCATATTGAGTTAAAATATAATTCTTCCACAAGACATGGTAGTTGTTACCTATAATTCTAGCACTTGGGAGGTAAAGGCAGGAGAATCAGAAGTTCAAAGCCATCTTTGGGTATATAACGTGTTCTAAGTCAACCTGAATTGTGTAAGGTCTAGTCGGTAACACTCATTTCTCTCATACTCAATATTTTGCCCCTTGGATTTTGCATTTAATGTATCTCATTTGTTACAGACTGAGTCATGATTCTTTTTACATCCATCAGGTTCTCCAGATTGACATCTCGGTCTAGAAAAGACCACCAAGGCTTGCCTATCTTCGTACCTCTGTGTAACATAGAAGCCAGCACAAGCAGACTTCAACAGTGTTTAGAGGCCAGACATGGTGGTGCCCACGTAAAATCCTACTGTTTGAGAGGCAAGATGAAGCTCTGTAACAGGCCCCCAGACCTTAGCACAACTGACTCCATGGTAGAAGTACCATTCAGGCTATAAAACTCAGCATGTAGACAGTGCCACCCACCAAAACTAAAACAAAGGCCTAATCCATCGAAGTCCATAGCTCTGGGAAAAGCTCTAAATGTACTAACCTTACCTTTTGATTTCTGTAGTTCCACTTCTGGCCAACTGCTCTTGTCAACTGCAGTGTGTCAGCCCAGGACATGGGTTTGTGCTTGAAAGCTCACTCTGAGAAAAGATCCGTGCTACACTGGATCTGGAACACCCAGTGTAGTCACTGTCTGGCTAATAGACTTTCTCTTGGCTTAAACCCATGTCCTAACAGTCTCTAGTGAATACCCCACAAGAGCTCCAGGGCAGCTTGAGCTACATAACAAAACCCTATTTCAAAAACAACAATAATAACAAAACAATCTTTGATTGAAGGAAAAAAGAAAAAAGCCACTGACAAAATTGTAAGATTTGAGAATGTTACTGTTTATCTGTTTCTTGTTTACCAGAGCTTGTGGTAAAGACTTTGCCAAGTTTTTAAAACTTACTTTTGCTTTGGTTTGGGGGTGGGGGTTGTTGTTTTTTGGTTTGGTTTTTGAGATAGGGT